CAATTCGAATAAGTCCAAAATCATGGTTATCAAAAAGAAAAATAAAGACTACTTGAATCAACAATTATGCCTTGATAATAACCTTCTGGAATTTGTTAGTGAAATTAAATATTTGGGAGTTATTCTTGATAATTTGAATTGGAAAAAACATATTTCTTATTTATCAAAAAAATGCGAAAATATTCTTCAAGGATTAAATCGGATTTCATGCAATACTTTTGGTTTTAAGTTCAATGTTATGAGTTTAATTTACAAACAGGGAATTGTTCCTTTCATTTGCTACGTATCTAGAGCATGAGGTAATGCCCTATTTAAAAAAGTATACATATGTACATAATCTGCGTAGAGTTCAGAGAAGAATTCTTTTCAGAATTGTGCGAGGATAAAGGACTATTAGCTACGATGCTTGTTTCGTTTTATCAGGTCTTCCTGCAACATCTCATTAAGGTCAAATTTCTCATTAACTAACCTTCCACATCCAGGTAATCGATTACCCATTGATACCATTAAAATCTGTAATAGTATTGAAAGTGATTTCCCGGTTGTTTGCTTTATAGACGGAAGTAAATTAAATAACAGAGTTGGCCTGGCTTTTGTGATCTTTTATAATAGTATAGAAATTGAGAACCACCTAATTGGAATTCCTGATAACTGCAGTGTTTTCCAAGCCGAGCTTTTGTGTCTTTACCACTCTATTAAATGGATCTCAAACAACTCATCTCTTTCATCAAAATTCCTAATCTGTTCAGATTCCCTTTCATCGGTATTTGCACTTAAATACATCACTTCTTTTAATAGAATTTTAATCTGCCATTTTAATGCAAAAACCCCCTGATGAAAAACAGTTTCACCCCACTTACTATATGAGTAGAAAAACGACTGATGCTAAAAAAAAGTATTCCAGCTACGAACTTGAAGCTCTTGCTATCGTAGAAGCCCTCAAGAAATTTCGCATCTATCTGTTAGGTATTCCATTTAAAATAATTACTGAGTGTGCTGCTTTTGAAAAGACTATGTCAAAACGAGATTTGTCGACTCGTGTAGCTTGTTGGGCACTTTTGCAGTAAGGAGAAGAGAGTGAGACAA